GCTGTAATTGGGTGATTCGCCGCTTGGTTCATGTTGAATGTTGACAGATATTGGTGTGAGGACGTCTTTTTAATCGTGAGATAGAGGGTGGGGAAGTTTAAGAGAAGGAAGAGGAAGTAGCCGTCTTCTTCAGAGTGTGTATCACACATTGACGAAGTATAAACAGTGCATTGCTGGTCGTTCTGAGAGTTTATGCTAACATATGAAAGACTACCGTGTTCTAATGAATGTAACTCTACAAGAGACTGATTGACTAGTGAATTTGTAGTGTGACACACGCAGTGTTTACACTAATATTGATTTGGTGAAGTTTTGGAGATAAGGGAGTGGAAGGGTTTGTGAGTAAAGAACGAAACACAGAAGCAAAAAAGAACGAATGTTGCCGTTTGTGGAATGTGATGTTTTTGGGGAAATGTGATTTGTGTTTAATCCCCTGGCAGAACCCAAAAAAGAATTTGGAGGATCACTGTGAGAGATCACTTACAATAGTACATGGAAAAACATATTAAACATTTCCTGGAGGACTAACGTCACTAAACTCCCTTCATATATCACTCATTCGATTACACCACCATTCCCAGTTTGTCTTTGAAGAATGCTTTTGTACCTAATATTTTACCTTGTTCAATATAGCTTACTGAAGATGAAATATTTACATTCCGAAACGTTCAAAAATTAAATGTTTGTTACCGTACACACACATGTCAAATGTTCGTTGTTGTTGCCGTCGTTCTATTGTTCATCATAAAACTTTTCGAATTATGTGGTTGACCTTCAGTGTGTCCTATATATTGGACCTACGTTCACTAAAATCTAATCAGTTTTTCCTCGGGAAAAACTCAACCTATGTACCAACTTTGTTTAAACTCAGATGAAAATATTTTGGGTTAAATGGTTGAAACTCGGTGTTACCTTAAATTTTGAACTACATTCAAACTCAGAAAATTGAGAAGAGCAGGGGGTAAATATTGCAAAAATTACAATTTAGTTATATTTTTAGGATGAAATTATTACTTTCTCTTAATGTCTTTAAAATATATTGATCCGTGACTATATGTCCATTAACTTACCATTGAATAAACGAGTCCTGACCAAATTTCAAGAGGATAGGAAACAAGAAACATAAATATTTGAGTAAGTCAGTTACTTATATACAATTAAAAGAAATACAACTTTAAAATCATTACACAATAAATAGTTTTTAAAACAGGGACTTGCCATAAAAAGAATGTACATATCTTTCGGTGGTCTATTCAGAAGATAATGTCACAGAACATCAAAACATATGTACTCTTTTTTGGACAAGTCTATTTTGTAATAGCTATTTATTGTGTAATTATTTTAATGTTGTACTCCTTTTAATTAATTAATTGATAATATGTTTTACACAAGTGTCATTTTAAATTATTTAAGTCCTTTATTTTGTAAAATTTAACTTACAACAAAGCTAAATTTTTCAGTTGAATAAAACATATTTCAATACTTATTATTAAAATTAGGCAAAAATAACAATTGTGCAGGCAACGGGTTAGTAGTTTAAAGTATATATCTGTGATTAGACTTTGCGACAATTAATTCAAAGTTTAAAAGGAGAGCGAAATCCGTTTCAGCGAATGTATTTTCTTTTCACGTGTCAACAATTTAAACCCATTTTATAGAAATGAAAACAGAGGACGCAAGTTTTTTTCTGAAATGTATAGTCGTGGAATCAGAAATGACTTAATTTTATTTAATACTCTACTATGTTCTATCTAAAAAAATGCCCGCTAAAAGAAATTAATACGATAAGATAAACATGCTACCAGCAAGAAAAGTACAGAATGAATCTCATTGTAAGAGAATCCTTAAATTAAATTTTGAAGCAAGGATTCGCAAGTTAAATTATCATGTATTATATTAACTATGCTTTTCTTAAATTTCAAATAAATTTAAGTTGTTGTTTAGCGTAAAGTTACACAATAGACGATCGGCACTGTGTTCACCGAGGGAAATCTAAGTGGTAGTTTAGCGTTTTAATTTTAAGTCCGTAAACTTAGCGCTGACCACTGGATGACATGAATTTATGACACTTATGGATTGTAATTAACCTGAAAGTATAGTTTAGTTACCTGTGAGGCTTAGACTGATAATAGAATCAAAGAAGGGAACTTTAGCTTTCCAATAACTCCTCCCATGTACCTACACGAGTTTGTTAGCAGTTTTAATAACTTGTGTTAAAACTCAGGAATGTTTTAGTAAGATAGATCTAATCACACAGTTGATTAAGCTTATCAAAAATTAAAGTTAATCATAAAACACCAACAGTTTTATAAAATATTTAAGATATTTACGAAAATAAAATGTACTTCAAGCAGTAGAAAATCAGACCAAAGTAAAGAAAAAGGAAAACTGCTAAAAAAGGCGATATTTCTCTCACTGTCTTCACCGAGTGCGGACTGGGTGAAAGGAAAGCACAAGGAAAGACATCTATTGGTAAAAAAAGAAAAAAAAGGGAAGAAGAATAACATCTATTGAAATAATAACAAACGACATATATCACCACCTCTTTCTGATTCTAATTATTCAAGAAATAATTTTTATTATTTGCTTGTATAAATAAGAAAAACATTCTTCACATAATATGACAAACATACAGCTCTTATCATTACCCAAGTTGCCTAATCCTTTAGGTGTGAAAAATCTCAAACAGAAGTGTTTCTGTAAACTTGTATGTTTGCAATTGTTATTCATATTTTTCAATATATATTTTTTTTCAAGAGTTATTAAAAAAAACTAACTTCATAGAATAAATGTATGCTTCCTGAACTTTTATTATGGTTGGAAATACTATATATACGATCTATAACATCTATTTATATACTTTCAATATATCCGGAACAAAGTATCTTTAATAATTCAATGCAACTTACATTGTACACTTTTTGACTCTGAAACCTTACTTCATAAACGTAACTAGATGGGGAATGGGACAGTTATCAAATTTGTTGTACAAGTTAACTGTTTGAACTGATAAAGTTTGATACCTCACTTAGCAGACGAGAGTGAGCAGATTGTTTTGAAACTTAGTTGAAACCTAACTAAGTATCTTTGTTTTTTTGTTTGTAACTAAGCACAAAGCTACACAATTGGCTATCTGTGTTCTGCCCACCACGGGTATCGAAACCCGGATTCTAGCGTTGTAAGTCCGCAGACATACCGCTGTGCCACTGTGGGACAACTGAGTATCATTAATAAATAATCGAATATAAACGAATTTGGTATTCTCAGATACATTGGTTTCCTACAGGTTGGAATAGTAACCACACGAACAAGAGTTTGTTTGTTTGTTTGTTATGGATTTCGTGCAAAGCTACACGAGGGCTATCTGCGCTAGCCGTCCCTAATTTAGCAGTGTAAGACTAGAGGGAAGGCAGCTAGTCATCACCACCCACCACCAACTCTTGGGCTACTCTTTTGCCAACGAATAATGTGATTGACCGTCACATTATAACGTCCCCACGGCTGAAAGGGCGAGCATGTTTGGTGTGACGGGGATTCGAACCAGCGACCCGCAGATTGCGAGTCGAGCACCCTAATCACCTGGCTATGCCAGTCCTCACTAACAAGAGGTTTGGCGGGAAATGAATGATAGAGTTAAATTCAATAATGACCTTATTGAATTGAGTTTTTTTAATTAATTGATTTTAATAATAATTACATGAAATAGCGTTTTCAAATGTATCATTTTGTGTTGTACTAATTACAACTAAGTAAATAAGCTGGACTGCAGATCCGGGAGTCCGTGGTTCGAGGCCCACTGCCGAAAGATAACGCTCTGCGCTTTAAGGCTGTGGGTGTATTATACGAGTCCCAATATTGAATTAGAGTAGTGAAAAGTTGGTGTTGCTGTTGACTAGTTACTTTCACTCTAGCGGTTGAAAGTTAGAGACTAGTAGTGCAGAACATCATTGTTTGAAACAAATCAAATCGAACTTTCTCTAAACATTGAGATGGTCTATGCCAAATGACTGTTTGTTTGTTGAATGTTACGCAAAGCTATTCGAGGACTATCTGCACTAGCCATCCATAATTTTGAAGTGATAGGCTAGAAGGAAAGCAGTTAGTCAACACTACTCACCACCAACTTTTGGGATACTCTTTACTAAAGAAAAGACTGGCACATTATAATGCCCCAACAGCTAAAAGAATGAGCATTTTCGGCAATGGGTTTCAATCTTGCAACCCATAGATTGCGAATCAAGCACCCTAAACATCAGGCCATGCTATGCCCTTATGCCAAATAAACATTTAAATAAGACTGAGGAATAAAGTACTATACACTTATGTGAATAGGGTCTAAACTTTTACACGACCGATACAACTGGAGAAAACATTAGCGCAAGTCCAATAAATTTTAGTGATACTTTCCATAAATAAATTCAGAAATACCAAAGATGGAATGACCCTTGACAATGTCTCACTAGTACAAGAGTAGGTCAACAGGTCTCAAAGCCCATTTTTTTGCATCTTTGCATTCAACACGAACACTAACTGCATGTAAATACGAAATAGTTTACCCTTCTAAATTAAAAAAAGAAACGCCTCGTATGTTTCACATACCAGACAACAAACATGTTCTTTTAATTAACTTATTTTAATCTCCATACGAAACAGCGTCTTAAAAACGATCATTTTGTATCGTATTAGTTACAACAAAGTAAATACTTTTGTATATTTCCACATTCGCCAATGTCACTTGAATGACAGTTTAGTAACTTTACATTTATACTAAAAGTGAGTCTAACATTGCTTAAAAATGAAAACGAAATTATTACGATAGTAATTATTAAAGTTCAAGTATATATAATACGGGTTACAGTAGAACTTATACACAGAATAAAGCTTTATATGATTTTACGCCTAAAAAGTAGTTTTTTTATTTGTTTTGTCAAGAACATCGATAAGTAAAATATTTTAAGGTATATAGCCTACACAGTGTATAATGAATCAGTGTCACGTACCTTGTTGAATTTCGTCCGACTGCAAGTTCGTCTGTGTCATCAGGAAAGCATTTTCCATAATTAAATGAACGGTCTTTTTTGTCTTAATGTAAAACAAAACATACAAGCATTGTATTAATGCTTAATTTGTCAGGAACACAGTAACTTTGAACTTCATACACTGAAGTATCTTTGAGATTATACGAAAAATATGCTATAAATTGCTAGTATTTAAATGTATTTTAAACTACCAAGAAACACGTAGTCGGTAAGGCTTCAGAAAATGTAATTGTTGATAGTTTTCTCTTGATTCGTGCAAGAGACAATTAAGGGTAAGATGGCATCCAAGAACCAATTGACCATTTTATCCTCAATTATATGAACAACTATTCTCCTCAACAGCTTACAAAATATAAAGTTCTTGAATGATGACCTTAGGCTATTTACTAATTACTGTAGGATGTAGTAACTTTTAAATGGGTTTAGTGTCGTTGTTTCATTATAATGAAATTGAATTTTAAGTTTAACATTGGACAAACGAGCTTCAGTAGGTTGAGATACAACCCCTTTAAATATAATGTTTCTAAACAACAGAATATCTCATCTAGAAGGGTAAAACATCAATTGTGTTAAACCTTATCAAAAAATTGTTAATTTAATTTCTAAAGTATAGAATGAATGATTAGAACGATATTTGGTTCAGTGGGTAGAACTCACTTCTGGGTGTAAATTCCCTTGGTGTTTCGCCCTGATCTGAAGCGATGTGTTTAAATAACTGGACGCTTGACAAAACTCCCCCAGCTTTGTGCAAATTTTACCAAGAGTGTCTAAAACGTGGGCACATGCTACGTCTGTGTCCTTCTGAAATGCAGAAAAACATGTTTTTACCTACGTTATATTTTGGGAATTTTGTTCATCTTAGAATGAGTAGGCATATCATATTTACAAAGCAAAAACACAGTTTACGCACCCTAAGAAAGGAATTACACGGTTTTACATGTTGACCAATTTACGAGGAATACTACAATTAAGTGAAGATCACACGTAAAAAAAGTTAAAATAAAAAACTTTCCCTTTAACATTCAGATAAAAAAGTAGTAAAATACAAACTTCATGCTTAAAGCATCTAGAAAGATAACACAAATCCTAAAGCATCAGAAACGTTCAAATACTTTGTAACTTAATTCCAGATATTTACTTAAAGCTGAAAAATTTAATACTTAAATCTACTAAAAATTAGACACGTGCTTCACAACATTTGTAGATCACAGTTTGAAAGGCTTTGGGTTTTTTCAACCTGTTATGAGCGTAAGATATAACTCCGATAGATGAACAAACATTGTTGAGTACGTCATATGAAAACAATTTTGAACAAGCAAATCAACGACTCACTTTACAATCATAGAAATATAGTAGCGGTGGAACAACATTTTGATATTGGCGTTTTGTAGATAGTATGATGCCAATGAAAACTGATCGTTTTGGGTAAGGGTGCACAACAGCCCTATCTGACGTAAAAATATTCATACACTCAGATCATAAAGATGAGTTTGATCTTTGACTTAGAATTTTTTATTTGATGGCGTTGGAAAGAGATCTGCGATAAGTACGGTTTTAAGTAAGGTGCGAAGTCCTGTAATCCACGATAGATTGATGGAATAAATCGTCTACGTGCCCTAGACAACACCACGGAACATAATCAAGAAGGATTTCCATCTAGAAAAGCGACACAAATCACGCGTACACAAAATGTTTCCACGACATATCCAGAAAAGGAAGACCGACTGTCTGTATGAACGAGACATAGCCGAGAGAAAAATAGCAATATGTGGTGACACTCGGCAAACCGTATGTGTAACTTAGAACGTGTAACAAGTCTCGTGCCATTTTGTACTGATCAATGGTTGAAACAATTTCCAAAAATGGATCACGGTATACTGCGAAACTTTTTCTAAGAGATTCACAATCATTGCTGCATACTGCCTAAGGAGTAAGTTAAGGACCAGGAGAGTAGATACAAAGATCATGGTGAAATCCGTTTACTATCTGTTTGATATGCTGGACCCTTTGTACCACAAAGAAATGCTGTCTTTGTGGAGTGTGGGTTCAGTACGATAAGACTTCCAGTCAAACCTCCCGTTAAACTGTTACATACATGAAGTTAGTTAGTTTGTTTGTAATTAAGCACAAAGCTACACAATAGGCTATGTGTGCTCTGCCCACCACGGGTATCGAAACCCGAAATCTAGCGTTGTAAGTCCGCAGACATACCGCTGTGCCACTGGGGGGCCATACCTGAAGTAACTGAAGAATAAAACGGGCAATCATGCTATTCCATACGATGACGTGGTGAGGCTCAAAAACCGTTTTAGTTTAATATATTCAACCACTTGAATATGTGTATTATGTATAAAACAAGTATATTTGGTTGACATAACATATATACGTGTGTGTTTCTGTACTATAAGAACGTAACATTGGTTTCAGATGTTCACCGATGAGTCAGCAGTAAGTTTACGGACTTACAACACTAAAATCCAGGGTTCAGTTTCCTGCAGTGGACAGACAACAGATAGCCTATTATGTAGCTTTGCGCGACAACAACAACAACAAAAATACACACAAACGGCAAACGCTTTCAGATGTATTTAAAGAAATTTGTACATAAAATGATTTTCGAAACTAATATATAAAATAAACTTACTTCATTGAATTTATCCAGTGCCTTCAAACAGCAATCTTTGGCTTTTTCGTAGTTTCCTTCGGCAACGAAAGACTGAGCAAGGTGAATGTCTTCTTGCTGAAAATGATTAATAAAGACTGAGCAAGGTGAATGTCTTCTTGCTGAAAATGATTAATAAAGAAAATAATCAAA